CCCCAAAACCCCAAAACCCCAAAACCCCAAAACCCCAAAATAATAAATTAATGTTGAACAAAGATGAAATATTTCCTAATTTATGAACGAAATGTTCATACCCAAAACTCATGTTACTACCAATCGCCTCAAAACAGCTTTCTAAAACACCTGGGAGTGTACTATCCACCGAGGTAATACTTATTCCCAGGTACATTTCTATCTGCCAGGACGGTTAGTCACCATAAGTTCTAAACTTGTGGAAGGACTCTAAAGTATTAGTGAATTAGCATACGTGGTTTAGTACCTCCGAGGAAGGATCCCTTGGTTATCTCGACTTTGGAGAGGCTCATATCTTCTGTTATACTCTAGGTGTTTAGGGTTAGGGTTTACTCAGGAGTAGCGATTCTTTCTTCTTTTTAAATTTGCTATGGTTTGTCTTTTGGAGTTTGAATTTTTCGTCAGTCGTTTCAGTCGTTCTGGAAATCAGTAATTTAGGCTTACTTGTTAAGTAAGTTGAGAGAGTTATCGGATATTGCGTTAGCTCTATTATGAGATTGTTCTACGTAGTCTCTCAAAGGCCTGAGAGGTTTCAGAGGCTTGGATGTGCATTTTTGACTATTGATTAAGACATTAGTTCGTTTATTATCAATTTCTGGGACTGATTTATTACTCCTTGTACCAAATCCTTTGTATCTGTTTTTGATTCCTTCAAGGACATAATTTTTAGAGAAAATTATTTTTCTATAAATTAGTACATAAGGATCCTTATCAAGTTCACAAAGGGAGTTAAATACAAGCTAGTCTTGATTTTAAATGGTCTAAGTTTACAGAAATTGATTACTGTTTATCATTGGAATGTTTTATCCAAATTCAGACTACACATAGGCCTAATTTGATAATCACAAATGTACAAAAAGGATGTTTCTTACAATACTTCATTATCTTTGAATTTGGTATCATCTCAATAGGATTGTGAAATATTTTGATTTCCAGACTGGGGAGTGCCCGAACTTATCACTGAACTAGTTGAGAGATTTCCCTTTGGAGATCAGTTATTCATGAATTTTGATAAAATGCTTTCTTCATGCTTTGGTGAATGGTGCATTATTGATCCATGAGTATGCTAGAGAGGTCAGTCAACAGCTTTTAGAAGGAATATCAAGCCTAAAAAGAGGCTTTAAGCCTCAGAATTAGCTATTCCATAATCAGGATTTTAGCCAAGCTTTGCTAATAAAAATAGAGATAACTTAAAGTTGGAGCATTAAAATGCGAAGATACCTCCTTGTTCTTGGAAAAATTGTTGTTCGGAAGAAATCTTTTGTCAATTGAAGGAAATCTGAATCTGACGTTTGTATTTTTGCTCTTCTTTGTGGAACCTGGATGGGTTATCATTTTTGATTTAATGGAAATTTGATTTAATTTATTAATTCTGATAAAATAAAACCTTTAATATCAATTTTTGAGAAGGATTAAGGGGTTTTGGGGTTTTGGGGTTTTGGGGTTTTGGGG